ATATCAAGACGGAAATGATGAGGGAACTATATTAGTTATAGCTTGCTTCAGGGAAGTACATCTAATTTCATGGTTTTACCAGGGCTCCCAACAGCTACGTTTCTAGAAAATATTTTATTGAGTGACAGATAATTAAAAGCTGAAGCTTTCAGAATATTAGTCAAATTTATTAATATTTTAAAAGCTTAACCACCAGAAAACTGATACAATGTGACTTTGTCAGATGAAATTTTGAATCATTCACACGTAACGTTAAGAAAAATATCATTCATTCATTTTTACTAAATAAAAGAAACATTCGCTTCAACATCTTTTCTACCGCTAAAAGTAATTTTTTGGCAGTCTTGTTCAGCATATAATTTTTGATTCTGAGAACATAATCTTTAATGATTTTGGATTCTATTATACATAAGCAATGGAAACAAATAAATAAGAATTGGTATTTGTGCAGTAAAAGTTTTAACTGTGAGCAAAATTAAAAAAATTAAGCATAATCTGGATTGCTGCAACGTTATCCAGTTTTGTATTCTAAAGAGGTATTATTTCCGGGTTGGCGCTTATTTCAGCACAGAAGAAAAGGTTTCATTGATTTTCACACCTATCTTCATATTATATAGTTACTTATAAGAAGTAGTGTACTATCAAAAACTCATTTTTGTAGTTCTTGCTGGTAATTAATAGAAATCATACACAACAGTGCCCTTTGGTCCACCGACACTTTGTTTACCATAAGAGTCGTATCATTTCTCTATTTCAAACACTATCTTTATTTTAATCAAAATTGCCATCACTGTAGATAAAAAACAAAATATATTCAAATCTCTTTCATTTGTCAAATTCAGAAAAAAAGGAAATTATCTGTTGTAAGCTCAAGGTTACGTTTATTCTTAGATAAATAGCACAATCATGACATGATTTTTGATTTTATTCGAGATAAAATCAAATGTGACTATAAAAACAAAACATTTAAAGAGAAGATTACTGAAACGAATTTGTTAAAAATCAGTCGTTCTTCTGCACCTTATTTTCGACAGGATACGAAAAATGTCGTCGGTTCCCTTTTCTCAAGTTGTCGATGGTTTCCAACTTCCAGGAGTGTTTCCGGCTGATAATTTTCGTGCGGCTACCAAATACAAACCACGACCAGATGACCTTTTCTTGGTGACCTATCCTAAATGTGGAACCACTTGGACAGGACAGATACTTATCCTTATACTGCAGAAGGGAGAGCCTCTCAAAAATGCATCAGATTTGCATGCAAAAGCTCCGTTTTTAGAAATGACAGGTAAATGTTTTTTTTTTTGTTTTTTTTTGTTGAAAAATTACAAATGAAAATGCTACACTATATCACGCAGTCAAAAGTTTGCTTACATATTATTCAATATTCCATAAGTAAGCTCCTAGGCTCAAATAGCAAGATTGACTCATTTCTTCACTGGTTGGTTTACCCTACTTTAAGTTTTGGAAAAGCATGATAATTAATATTAGTTTTACTTAATAACAAAGAAGATGAAATACAAAACAGTGAATTTAGCATATTCATTGAAATAATAAAGTCCGTGTTAGAAAAGTTTTTTTATTTTATTAAATAAATACGATAACATTTAATAACAATAAAATGACATTTAATAACGTTTATCTTTTGTTAAAGTAAAACAAAGATAAATGTTTACATACGCAAAAATTTAGTGAATAAAAATAGTTTTTAAACGAATCATAAAAAAAGAAAGAAAACCAAATTATAAAGCTTTAGAGCATATATTTTTAGCATGATGTAATGACAGTAATAAGCACTCAGGAAGCGTCAGAATAAATCATTTATGTTATAAGGGCTTATCTAGAATAAATCATTATCTATAAGGGCTTATCTGTCGCTGCAATGGGTGAAGAGGTCTTCACTTATTTGCGGATATGCCAACTGCTCCAAATAAGACAAAATATTAAAAAAAAAANAAAAAAAAAAAAAAGAAAAAAAAAAGGAAAAGAAAAACGGTAATGAACTACAAACTAAAATTTGTAGGTTTTTGGTAACTTTTACCAACTTTTGACCTTTCTAGGACTGGACGGGCGAGTCATTACATATATTCGTATGGAGTCAGGAATAGGATGAAAAAAAATAAAAAGTGGTCGCTTAAGTTTGGGCATGGCTAATTTGTCAACCTTATTTTTGCTTTCACTTTAAATCTAATACATCCAATCTATACTTGTTAAAAGTGTAACAACTGTATAATTTTTAATTTGAACTAAGTCTTGATGATATTAAAAAAGAATACTATTATTAGTCTGCCCACAAATAAACTGCAATAAAAATAGTACTTTTATCTTTTTTATCATGATTGTCGTCACCCTGAAAATGCATATATGCCTGTTTGGAAGTGATTAAAGACGCTCAGCACAGCATAAATTCATTGCTTGAATTACATGCATTTTCAGGCTTGTTTACTAAATTTAGACTTATAAACCTTTGTGAAGTGGAAGAAAATGGGCAATTCCATGAAAAAGAGGAAGAAGCATTGGAAAATTCAAATAAGAATAATGTTATTATTTTGGATATTTTCTGAATTAAAAAAGTTTAAAATTTGATAATTTAAATTTTTTTTTTTTGAGAATTTAGTTTTTTAATGTTTATAGCCCACTGAACATTGGCATTTTCTTGTTTTGATTTGGGTGAGGAACATGGTCAGATTTTGAAAATCAGTAAGTCAACATTATTTCCATTTCAAAATGCTCCAAAGAATAAATATTGTTTATTACACTTAATAGAAATATTGTGCAGCGTTAAAATAAGTTTTTGTTGTTACATTCACTTAATTATATAAATTTCAAATAAACATTAATGCATGTAACGCAAGTTACCAAAAACTAGGAAAAGTTTTTATGTGTAAAAAAGAACAAGTGATACAAAAGTAAGAATAATATTTTTTCTTTCTTTGAGGCTAACACTAAATAAGCAGCAATAGTTTTCTTTTCAAATATTACTTATTTATTGTTCTGTGTACTATTTAATATGTGTAACGTAAGTTACTGACATGCATGCAATGTAAGTTACCAATGTGAAATGAGTCTATTTCTCTTGAAAATTGGCATATAAGCTAAATAAGATGTATCCAGTTACAATACCAAAGTTTAAATAAATTATCACTGCCTTAAGATATTAATTTTAATGAAAATCTTTGCACTAAGTTATTCAATTGAGTATCGGCATTCATATGTTTTTAAAATTGAACGAAATTTCTCTACAAGCACCAGGAGTTAAGGATGTAGTTATAATTAGAGATGCTAATAGTAGCAAAAAGAAAGTACAAGCACGGCATCTTCCTCATTCAGTTCGAGAAATGCACCAAATGTTTCTGGAAGAAAATGCAGAATGCAAAATTGGAAAAACTAAGTTCTTTGAGCTCCGTTCAAAGCATGACTCGCCGATTTATCATGTCTTTTTCTACTGGGGTCATATGCAGTGTCTCATCTACAAAGATGGTCTCATAGATTCTGCTGAAAACCTTGGGTAGTTAGGTTTTTATTTAAAATGAGGAACAATAAAGCGAAGAATTATAAGTCCCGTCTTCTATTAAATTAGTAATAAAATTGTTCGGATACAACTTTTTTTTTCATTCTGAAAATGTCACTTACCTGCTTCTTCCGCTAAGTTTTTCAATTAATATAGCTAAAAAAATTTATTTCTTTAATTTAATGCTATTTGTTGCCATTTACGGTAATTTTACGTTATTGAAATAAGTAAAACTTGTTTTTTGTAATTCATCCCATTAGAATAAAGAAGAAACGTATTTAACATCCCTTTTCATGATGCTATTGACGCCCGGTGGCTGAGCGGTAGCGCTTCGCGCTGTCGTGCCACAGGTCCCTGGTTCGATCCTCGGGCCCGGGCAAGGTTCACTCAGCCTTTCATCCCTTCAGTGGGTCGATAAATGAGTACCAAGCATGCTTGGGAACTAAACACTGGGGGTTCCGCGTTCGGCTGACCACATGACCGGAACATCTGCTCCTGCACCCCAGAGCCCAAGGTCAAGAAAACTGAGATGGGCACAGTAGGCCTTGGCCCTCTATGGGCTGTCGCGCCACTGAGTTTAGTTTAGTTCATGATGCTATTACTCTCGGCTAAACCAAATAATAGTCAAAATTTACCATTATCAAATAATTTTCTCCCGTACATATCTTTTAGAAGGGAGTCGTTCAAAGCATCGGTATATAAACAGCTTATTATTGGTTCTGTTTTAATCAAAACGAAATATATCATTATAATATTTTATATCTATATTAGCATATTCGGTACTTATTACATAACCCTTCAACATGTAAGTTTTGTGAAAAATATATTTGTCAGTGACAGCCAACTAAAGCTGAAATTTAAAAAAAAGATTGAGTTCTTATTAGAACTTGATAGGGATTTTGGAGAATGACCATTTCTCTATCTAACCTTAAATTCACTATTAAAATATTTAGTAGTGGAAGAACAAAGTTCGTTTACTCTGATTCATTAAAATATTAATAAACTATCATTTCTACCACAGAAAAAAATATTTTCTGAAATCACAGAAAACCCGTTGTAGAATTCTTATCAAAGGTGCACTAATATACCGGTATAATACCGGTAGTATATATTACAGACAAGGATACAGATAAATTAAGCGTCATTTGTAAATGGTGATTTTCCACGATTTTCCTAAGCAAATTTTTGATTAATCTTTTCTCCTTTAACTTTGCTTTTTAGCGCATAGCTTATATTATTTTATTTCAATTAATACATATTATCAATATTAATAAAGCAATGTGGATTCAAAATGAATAAGTATCTTTTCTCCATTATTTTTGCTATAATTTTGATCAGCTTTTATGTCAATTAACAAATTACCAACATTAATTAAGCGTCATTGTGGTCCTTGATAATATGACGATTTCTTGCGCTTCTTTTAGACAAACAAATAGATNCTGATAATGCTCACTCTGGTTATTGTTTCCGTTTTTAAAAGCACTATATGTTGAGCCACCTCATGTGACATTTGCCATGTGACATTTATAGCAGCAATCATTGGTCGATTTTCTAACGTTGCCATTCGGGGAGTTGTAATGAGGCTTTTTTTTGGTGCCGTGTAAGAGAAATATATATATATAGATTATCAATATTAATAAAGCATTAGAGTCAGCAATAAGATGTGGATTCAAAATGAATAAGTATCTTTTCTCCATTATTTTTGCTATAATTTTGATCAGCTTTTTATGTCAATTAACAAATTACCAACATTAATTAAGCATCATTGTCGTCCTTGTGACGATTTCTTACGCTTCTTTTAGACAATTAAATAGATTAACTCTATTACTTTTGCTTTTTAGTACAAATCTTATTTCTTTTATTTAAATATACATATATTATTTAAACTAATTAAGCATTATTGCCATCAATAATAATGTGGCTATTTTTTACATTTCACCTAAGCAAATAAATACAACATTCTCATTAATTTTACCTTTAAATGCATACATATTTTTTCTATTCAATTACCGTTGATTTTAAATTAAAATTGTTTTAGAAAAATGTTTTTAAAGAAACATAAATAAGAAAATGCATGGTATCAGAAAACTTTAAAAGTATAAATTTGGTGACACAGCCCTCGCGTGTTACTGGCATAGCGAATATAAAATAATTCCATATTTAAATTCGTGTAATATCAAATAGAGCTATAAGCTAGAGAGAGAGATTTTCATTTTTTTAGACTAGATAGATTCACATAGATTAGGCAGTGGTAAATAAAATAAGGCAAAGAATTATTAGTCCCACCTTCTAATAAATTGGATACCGGCATGCTTGCCTCTACCTGGCGTGAAATTGACTATCGATTTGATATTCTCCATGCGACGAAGGGAGCACACGTGGAAGTTCATTGGCAAGGGTCATGAAACTTTTTGAGTCTATCCAACCATTTATGTTATTAATTTTAATCTAGCTTTATTATTTTATGAGTTATTAAACATCAAAATGGGTCCGGAACTTTATGAACACCCTCTATTTTAAAGTGGTAGTTTATCAATTGTGATTCTTGGTTTCATAAATTCAATTTAGTAGATTTTTATCCACCACTATTCCTAAATAATTCGCAGGCTTACATAATTCTCCACTTATAATACTTATGTTATGCTATATCTTTTAAAAAGCAAGCAAATATAGCCAAATATTTGAAAAATTTACTTGCGATTATATACCGTTTTTTTAATTATTTTTGCGTGTCCGGAGCAGTTGGCATCTCTGCATATTACCGACATTAATCAAGCATCATTGTCGTCAAAAAATACACCAACAGTCTGTCAGAATAAATGACGAATCAAGTATATACCCGGCTGAGCTGACCGCAATCTACCTGGCTGTTTCTTGGGCAATTGAGGCAGATATACAAGAGTTANGATAGTAGGAAGACTTCTTGCTATTCTTCTAGACAAATAAATTCCTTTACTCCTTTTCTTTTTCTTTCTAGTATATAGCCTATTACTTTAATTTCGATAATCATGTATTACCTTAATTAATAAAACATCATTGGCGTAATTCAACCTCAGTGGCTGTCGAGTTTATATGTTTCCCTTCTAAACGAATTTGTACCTCTTTCCTATAAAATTTCGCTTTTGAGTAAATAAATATTTTTTTCTATTTCATTACCGTTGATTTCAAATAAGTATTTTTTTAGAAACACGTTTCAAAGAGTTAATATAAAATCGCGTAGCATCAGACAAAGTATAAATTTGATGACGTGAACCACGCGTGCTACCACGTAGTGTTCATTGTATTCCTCTGACATAGGTAGTATAAAGTAACTAAATATTTAAATACGTGCAGTAAACTTCACTCAAGAGCCAAAACATTATGACTACCCCTACATTTTGCAATGAACTCTCCTGGATCATGTGGAGGGTACGTGATCAGGTGGACGTGGTATTTAACTGTTGCTGGAGAGTTTTGAAGAATCATTCTTTCACTTACTTTTGTGTGATGGAAAAGGCTGCGAATCTAAGCGACTTTGATAGAGGGCAGATTGTAATGGCTCGAAGGCTCGGAACAAGTATTTCCAAAACTGCACGACTCGTGGGTTATTTGCGATCTACAGTCGTTAGTACTTATGCAAAGTGGATGAATGATGGTGAAACCAGTAGTAGACGACAAGGTGCTGGACGTCCACACGCTATCAAAGAAAAAGGTAGTCGGAGATTGTCTCGCTTGGTGAAGCAAACTCGGAGCCAGACAGTGGCTCAGCTGACAGCCCAATACAATACAGGGTCAAGTAGAATAGTATCAGAGCACACTGTTCAGCGGACACTGTTGGACATGGGGCCACGCAGCAAACGTCCCACTCGTGTGCCTTTGTTGACCAAGCGTCATCGCCAACTACACCATGGATCAGTGGGAGAGAGTTGCCTGGTCAGATTAATCACGGTTTGTCATTCATCTCGAAGATGGCCGTGTCAGGATACGATATATATAATATATATNGAATGACTTATAAATATTTTATAGAGTGGCAGATAATTAAAAGCTAAAGCTTTCAGAATATTGGTTAAATTTATTAATATTTTCAAAGCTTAACCACCAGAAAACTGATACAATGTGACTTGTCAGATGAAATTTTGAATCATTCACACGTAACGGTAAGAAAAATATCATTCATTCATTTTTACTACATGAAAGAAACATTCGTTTCAACATCTTTTCTACAGCTAAAAGTAATTTTTTCGAGAAAAAGAGGAAAGTTGGCAGTCTTGTTCAGCATATAATTTTTTAATTCTGAGAATTTAATCTTTAATTGTTTTGGATTCCATTATACATAAGCAATTGTAACAAACAAATAAGAATTGGTATTTGTGCAGTAAAAGTTTTAACTGTGAGCAAAATTAAAAAATTGAGCATAATCTTGATTGCCACAACGTTATCCAGTTTTGTATTCTGAAGAGGTATTATTTCCGGGTTGACGCTTATTTCAGCATAGAAGAAGAGGTTTCGTGAATTTTTCTGACCTATCTTCATATATAGATATTTATAAGAAGTAGTGTACTATCAAAAACTCATTTTTAGTACTTGTTTAATAATAGAAATCATACACAACTGTTGCCCTTTGGTCCACCGACACTTTGTTTACCATAAGAGTCGTATCATTTCTCTATTGCAAACCCTATTTTTATTTTCATCGTAATTGTCATCACTAAAGATAAAAAACAGAAAAAGATATTTTCAAATCTCTTTTATTTGCCAAATTCTGAAAAAAAGAAGAAATAATCTGTTGTAAGTTCAAGGTTACATTTATTCTTAGATAAATAGCGCAATCATGACATGACATTTGATTTCATGAGAGATAAAATCAAATGTAACTATAAAAAAAAACATCATTTAAAGAGAAGATAACTGAAACAAATTTGTTAAAAAATCAGTCGTTCTTCTACACCTTATTTTCGACAGAATACGAAAAATGTCGTCGGTTCCCTTTTCACAAGATATCGATGGATTTCAAGTTCCTGGAATGTTTTCGGCTGATACTTTTCGTGGGGCTACCAAATACAAACCGCGACCAGATGACCTTTTCTTGGTGACCTATCCTAAATGTGGAACCACTTGGACAGGACAGATACTTATCCTTATACTGCAGAAGGGAGAGCCTCTCAAAANTTTTTTTTTTTTTTTTTTTTTTTTTTTTTTTTTTTTTTTTTTTTTTTTTTTTGAAAAATTACAAATGAAAATGCTACACTACATCACGCAGTCAAAAGTTTGCTTACATATTATTCAATATTCCATAAGTAAGCTTCTAGGCTCAAATAGCAAGATTGACTCATTGAAATTTATATATTATTTAATAAAAAAAATTCCTCTTAATCTCGCAATTACATATTATTAGCTCCTTCTAAATTTTCTGTTCTCAAAATTTCCATTATGAATTTTCTTTTCAGCTTGATAGTTTTTAGGCTTATTGTAATGCACTTCCTTACACTTAGGCAATTTTTTTTATTTTATTTCATATCCCGACCGATCTTTGGATTTGTGGCTATTAATGTTTGATTTCCCAGCTTTGTAATGTTGAACCCAGTGGTCGGAAAAGCGACATTATTTTTGTAGTTTACTACAGCTACAACAAATATGTTACAAATGTACTTAACTACAACTACTTTTTTTAAAGTGTGGTAACTATAAACTACTTTAGAATTGTAGTAACTATAAACTACTTTAGAATTGTAGTAACTACTTCAAAGAACTTCAGGAAACTTCAGGAACTTTTGAAAGACGAGAAAATCATCTCATTACTCATCTCCCTGCTCCCAGCCCTAAAGACGTAGATGAGGTGCCTCACCATCAAGCCTACTACATCTTTCATGATGCCTTTCATTATTTTATCGCATTTCAGGTTCTTTTCCGAACCACCAATACAACTTTCCTATGTATGTCCCTTTGGGATATTTCAGGATGAATGGGATAAGGGCCATTTAGGCCTCAGATGCCCAGTTCTAAAACAGCGAGCGAACGAATAGTAACTACTTCATTACTTTAAGGAGATGAACTTGCATTAAATTTAAGGGAATAATTGAGAAATGTTTATTCATATTTACAGTTTGTTATTCTAAAACATTTTTTTTGGAATTTATTCGTTTCACCTTAAACTTTTTATGCCTTTCTCGACAGCGACTATTTAATTGAAGAAATCCGAACTTATCAAATACTTAAATTTTTTTAATTGTTTAATGTTTCTTTTTTTATTTCCTCTAAGAAATTAAGTACGTCGAAAGTACTTTGAAAATACATCGAAAGTACTTTGAAGTACGTTGAAACTCCTTTGAAATAACATCCATGTTTCACGAGAGTACATTCGCATGTGAAAGTGTGACCAAAATAATTAATTATCTATTTTTCGAATTGGCTGGTTTAAATATTAGTTATACGTAATTCCTGTTAACGGTCAGCTGCAACCACAGAGTCATTTTCTTTGCATCCATTGTTCCGCTAAGATTTGTATCCAACAAATTCGAAAAATTAGCTACATTAGTGTCGTGTTTCTTTATTAATGCTAAAACTAGTGGTTGGGAATGGCTACAAACTACTGTTTTTTTGGGTACTGCATTACTCACTACACTACTTTTAAAAAAAAGTAGCACACTGCACACACGAAAAATAAGTAGCGACTACAGTAGTTACACTACTTGTAGAACGCTACTGNCGGCTGATACTTTTCGTGGGGCTACCAAATACAAACCGCGACCAGATGACCTTTTCTTGGTGACCTATCCTAAATGTGGAACCACTTGGACAGGACAGATACTTATCCTTATACTGCAGAAGGGAGAGCCTCTCAAAAATCCATCAGATATGCATGCAAAAGCTCCGTTTTTAGAAATGACAGGTAAATGTTTCTTTTTTGAACACTACAAATGAAAATGCAATACTATATCACATAGTCAAAATTTTGTTTACATATTACAGAATATTTCATAAGTAAGCCTCTAGGCTCAAATAGCAAGATTGACTCATTGAAATTTATATATTATTTAATAAAAAAAATTCCTCTTAATCTCGCAATTACATATTATTAGCTCCTTCTAAATTTTCTGTTCTCAAAATTTCCATTATGAATTTTCTTTTCAGCTTGATAGTTTTTAGGCTTATTGTAATGCACTTCCTTACACTTAGGCAATTTTTTTTATTTTATTTCATATCCCGACCGATCTTTGGATTTGTGGCTATTAATGTTTGATTTCCCAGCTTTGTAATGTTGAACCCAGTGGTCGGAAAAGCGACATTATTTTTGTAGTTTACTACAGCTACAACAAATATGTTACAAATGTACTTAACTACAACTACTTTTTTTAAAGTGCGGTAACTATAAACTACTTTAGAATTGTAGTAACTACTTCAAAGAACTTCAGGAAACTTCAGGAACTTTTGAAAGACGAGAAAATCATCTCATTACTCATCTCCCTGCTCCCAGCCCTAAAGACGTAGATGAGGAGCCTCACCATCAAGCCTACCACATCTTTCATGATGCCATCTTTCATTATTTTATCGCATTTCAGATTCTTTTCCGAACCACCAATACAACTTTCCTATGTATGTCCTTTTGGGATATTTCAGGATGAATGGGATAAGGGCCATTTAGGCCTCAGATGCCCTGTTATAAAACAGCGAGCGAACGAATAGTAACTACTTCATTACTTTAAGGAGATGAACTTGCATTAAATTTAAGGGAATAATTGAGAAATGTTTATTCATATTTACAGTTTGTTATTCTAGAACATTTTCTTAGAATTTATTCGTTTCACCTTAAACTTTTTGTGCCTTTCTCGACAGCGACTATTTAATTGAAGAAATCCGAACTTATCAAATACTTAAATTTTTTTAATTGTTTAATGTTTCTTTTTTTATTTCCTCTAAGAAATTAAGTACGTCGAAAGTACTTTGAAAATACATCGAAAGTACTTTGAAGTACGTTGAAACTCCTTTGAAATAACATCCATGTTTCACGAGAGTACATTCGCATGTGAAAGTGTGACCAAAATAATTAATTATCTATTTTTCGAATTGGCTGGTTTAAATATTAGTTATACGTAATTCCTGTTAACGGTCAGCTGCAACCACAGAGTCATTTTCTTTGCATCCATTGTTCCGCTAAGATTTGTAACCAACAAATTCGAAAAATTAGCTACATTAGTGTCGTGTTTCTTTATTAATGCTGAAACTAGTGGTTGGGAATGGCTACAAACTACTGTTTTTTTGGGTACTGCATTACTCACTACACTACTTTAAAAAAAAAGTAGCACACTGCATTACAAACTACGAAAAATAAGTAGCGACTACAGTAGTTACACTACTTGTAGAACGCTACTGCTGACCACTGGTTGAACTGAAGTGGTTGATAAAAAATAACAAGAGGAAGGAAATTTCCTGGAGACAAGGAATCTCCTGGATCAAGCATAAGGACCATAGCCACCTAGAGCCCCTGAATTAGACCAAGCCATTATAGCCCCCAAGAGTCAAAACCACTTGTGACGTCATCCTCAGAAGTGCTAAGGAACGCGGTAATCAGATTTGTATTAAGAGAAAACTGTAATAAAAAGGTCAAAATATTTTTTTGAGCGAAGTAAAATATTTTTTATTTAGCTAATTCATTGTTGCTTAACTCTTTCACGCAGACTGTCACAAATACGAGCTAGCATAAAACCGTATCAACCGGAGTAAAAGGATAAAACTGGTAATCAAAGTAATTCTTTAGCAGTTTATTTGTGGGCGGAGTTATAATTGTTTAATTTATTTAATTCACCATTACTTTGTTCAAAATAAAACTATTTAGTTATACTTCGAGCTAACATTGATTATATATATGATTAAACTAACAATCTATTATATATAATTCTCTTACGTGGCTCCCAAATTTTGGCTGTATTTCTTTTCCGCCGGTGGCAACGTTTGCTTTGTTTTGAAAACACCAAAGCATTCTGTCTTTNGGTGAAGTTTAAGTTTTTTTGTTGGAATAACTCAATATTATTTATCACGTTATAACTCATTAACACGTTGAATGCCATGCTAATTTTGCATGGCTTGCCCGTCTGGCCACACGGTAGATAATTACAAACTAAATTTGCAAATATTAGACAGATTTTGATAGTTTTTTAAAAGGTTTAGCATGACATATCTGTTCGTTGTAGTGGAACTGAGTGTCTGAGGCCTTCTGACATATCTGCTTGCTTGCTTTATTTAAACAACTGGGTGCCTAGGCCACGCAGCTGCCCCTAACCCATCCATCTTAAAAATATTATTACAGTGAATATAACATTTTGATTTATGTAACAGTGTGGTAACATACAAATAACCATGATTAGAAATTTGTACAACTTGATCGATGAGCTGACATATCTGAAAAAATTGGAGAATCATATAAGCCTATGAATTGTTTAGAAATAGTGGTGGAATTTATTAAACCAGGAATCACAATTAATAAACAACCACTTGAAAAATATTTATTCGCTGTCCGGAACAAGTTGGCACCTCTATGTATATAAATAAAACTATTTTTGTGTGTTCCATATTGCATTAATTTCTTCAAACCATTTTAGTAACGATAATAATACAAAAAAACTGAAAATTTACTCGAATTATGTGTTTCCAATCTTAGCTTTGTCGGTCACTGGTGACCCCCGTTGCCCTACGAACAAACTCAGTGCCGGCCACCTGTGACCCCATGGCATTCAACGTGTTAAAATAAACGTGTAGGACTATTTGATGTTATTATGGAACAATATTATTTGTATACATTATGCAAGTTGGGAGTTGCAAATTAATATATAACAAAAGAAATGACAAAGACTCTATGGAAATCAGACAAAAGGAAGGGGATTGCAATAAACAAGACAGGTTTATTGATTGCGAGAAGAAACAATAAAGAGAATTGAAGCACGATTATAGAAACACTTTCAAGTTTCGACCCTTAATTAAATAATTGTCATATTCGCCTTCCTCTACTTCAACTAGTAATATTTCGATGATGAATTTTTTTTTCTTTCTAAAATATTAGTTCGTGACTTTCAAAATGTATTCTTTTTGCTTTAATTTTTATAAACATTTTAAAAATGCATTTTGAGGATGCTCTTTACGGAACAACCTGTAGATTACGTATGATAGAGCTTACCAAAGAATTTAATTTTAATAAAAAAAGTTAAGATAAGTAAATAAATATTAAAACTACTCATATCCACGTAAAATCCATATGTAGCCTTATTTTAAATGGTATGATTTTTTCACGCCTTTCTTAATTAAATTATTTTTCTTTATTATAATTTATTACATATTTTTTTTCCAACAGAATCTTTAATGTTTTCCGTCATTTGTAGTTACTGAAATACGTTCGCAAAACATTTAGAGGCATCATGGTAGACTGATGGCGATTTGTTGGCTCTTTTAGACTTTTATTTCACTTTCTTATTTCAATTGCTTAATGTATGGTTGAATCATGACATGGTAATTTTTTAAATTAAAACTTGAATCTACCATTGCGATGCTTTCATATAAATAATTATCTCAAAAACATAAGAAAAAAAATAATAAGATATCAACATTTTTTTTAAACTTTTTCCTGAATTTATGAAGTATTAAAGGAGTAAAGTGTTGTTTTTTTGCGTCAATTGTAAAATAAATTTTTTAATCAAGCAATATTGTATTTTTATTTGCAATCAATATTAACACAATTCTGTATTTTAATATGGACTCACTCATTGCATAACTTAGCATTTTAACTAGCAATCACTAATTGAGTTGCTCAGCATTTTTCTGTGATCACTAATTACTAAATCTGTATTTTAATCTGCAACCCAATCACTATAATTGTGCATAACTTTTTATTTCAATCTGCAATCACTAGTTGTATTAATCGGTATTTTAACCTGCATTTAGTAATTGTATAATTCTTTATTTCTGATAGGCGTCGATTTCGTCGAGAAAATGATGAGGCCAGGTCCTATCAAAACTCATTTACCGTTTCACCTGACCCCTTTTTCGAAGGATGCCAAATACATATACGTAACAAGAAATCCAAAGGACTGCTGTGTTTCCTATTTCCATCATATGAGAAATTTACCCGGGCATAACTTCAATGGAACATTCGATGAATTCTTCGAGCTTTTCGTATCGGGGAAGATTGATTTTGGAGATTATTTCGACAACTTATTGTCTTGGTACCCTCACAGGTTTGAACCTTACTTCTCTCTGTATTTTCTTTCTCTTTTTTTTGAACCCGAATACTATTATTTTCGTGATCACATGGCAGAGGGGGGATCCTGCCTTCACTATTGCAGGCCACACCGGCCCTCAGCAAGGCATTATGGCCTGGGGTGCCATTTCCTTATACAGCCGGACCCCTTTGGTCGTCATTAGAGGTACACTTACTGCACAGCGGTACGTCGACGACATTTGCTACCGTTCCTTTTGCATTGCCCTGGGCTGGTTTTTCAGCAGGCAATGCCAGACCACATACGCCACTTGTTGCTGTGAACTGTCTGCAAGCTTGTCAAACTCTTCCTTGGCCTGCCAGATCACCAGATCTCTCTCCCATCGAACATGCCCGGGATATGATGGGGAGGCGATTGCATCTGGCATGGAATGTTGATGACCTCGTACGACAATTGGATCGAATTTGGTAGGAAATACAGCAAAAGACCATCCGGGAGCTTTATCGGTCTATGCCACGCCGTGTGGCAGCTTGTATCCAGGCTAGAGGCGGGTCAACACCTTATTGAACTTGTTACTGTAACTCTGCAATAAATTATTCAATTGTTCTGAAATTTTAATCATTTACTATTCTGTACATTGTCTTCCTATCCACCAATTTCCGTTTCAATTGGACAACTCCTTCTTGGTGCGTCGAATTTTTTGTTATAGAGTGTAT